GAGTGAGTGAGTGAGTGAGTGAGTGAGTGAGTGAGTGAGTGAGTGAGTGAGAGTGAGTGAGTGAGAGTGAGTGAGTGAGTGAGTGAGTGGAGTGAGTGAGTGAGTGAGTGAGTGAGTGCGTCAGTGAGTGAGTGAGTGAGTGAGTGAATGAGTGAGTGAGTGCGTGAGTGAGTGAGTGAGTGAGTGTGTCGGCCACGCCTGTGTTCTCACAAACTACTTCTATGCAGCATTTACAAGGCGATTCGCATGCCGCGCAAACACTGGTCCTGCAAATCACAATGGCACCAGTGCACAGACACACTTCGCAAACATCCTTCTCGCAGCATTTACAATGCGACTCCACACCGGCAAGAACAAATACTATGGAAATCACAATGGCAGTCACGCACAGAACCGCCGCGGGCCCAGCGGCGACCACGCGCGCTGGAGGCCCTTCTGCAGTCTCTGGACACTGCGGCGAGAGCCGGCCCAGCGGCGACCACACGCGCCGCAGGCCCTTCTGCAGTCTCTGGACACTGCGGAGAGAGCCGGCCCGGCGACCACGCGCGCCGCAGACCCTTCTGCAGTCTCTGGACACTGCGGAGAGAGCCGGCCCAGCGGCGACCACGCGCGCCGCAGGCCCTTCTGCAGTCTCTGGACACTGCAGGCCCTTCTGCAGTCTCGTCAGTGATGGAGTGAGTAGTGTGAATGAGTGAGTGAGTGAGTGACGAAGTCTCTGCAGACGCCTGGGAGTGTGAGTGAGTGAGTGAGTGAGTGAGACTGAGTGAGTGAGTGAGTGAGCGAGTGAGTGAGTGACTGAGTGAGTGAGTGAGCGAGCGAGCGACCGAGTGAGTGGAGGAGGGAGCGAGGAGGACGGAGGGAAGGAAGGAAGGAAGGAAGGGCGGATGCGGGCGGGATGGCAGCCAACAAAACTAGAACCCCACACAGAGATGTGGGGAAAAACACCAAGAGAGGAGGTGAACCACGCCCGGTGTGGGAGGGAACGATTTGAGATGCCCCAGGTCCCGCGAAATCCGAGATTCTTCACATGAAATCCAGGTGATTTGATGACACATTACACCCTGGAAAATTCACACGAAACCTGAAAACCACGCCCAGTTTGTAGAGAAAAATCGCCGTCAGGTTGCCCATGTGGGTCTCTTCCCGGGTGTTGGCATCGAAACCACCTGGTACCAAGTCATCTGAACCCTGCAGGAATGGCGGGGTAGCTAAGCACCAGATGGGCTTTGAGGGAGCTTCAGAGTATGTTCAGCCACCTGTCTAAGATGTGATTGATCCGTCTTTTGTATCTGGATGTATCTGGTCATATCTGGCTACATCGGAGTGGACACCCGAGTTGTGGTGAAGGTGGCTGTCCAAGAGGTGAACGACCATGTGGTGTTTTGCAAGAGCTGGCCATGAACAGGATTCAGTGGCAAGAGCTGGTCATCCTGTCGTTGCTGAAGTCCTGAAAGAACTGAACCAGTGAACCAATGATGTGCACTGAAGGAAAAGGTTTTGTGCACTAAACTTTCGTCACTTTGGGTTCTTTACGCTCCACCAAACCACAGTATTGTGGGTTAAGTACATGTAGCACCCACTTGGAGAACAATGTAATAAAAGTTGTCTTGCCATTGTATGGTTTGGGCCTTGCTGTCTTGTTTTTCTTAATGATTGCCGACAAGTACTTTCCTGTACTGAAACCCAGCAGGTTTATGAGCACCGGGCAGAAATCAATAGACAAACCTTCAAACTTGAAGCGTTTTCTTCAGATCCCCCATGACCTCCACCCATCTGGGGCTTTGTTGCTGGACTCTGTTTGTTTTCACGCTTCAGATCCCTCGCGTCTGTCCCCAGGCTGCTGGCACCCTTCAAAACATGCATGGCGCGTTCTGACCACCCGTCGTCTGACCACCCGTGGGCCCGAGGCGGCCAGCCAAGAGACGTTATCATGAAAGGTGGAGATCGGGAGTCCGTCTTCTCCGCGTCTCCTGGCCGACGGTCGGACCGGTCGGACGAGGTCAACGACGGACAGCACAGAGGTGGATGATGCTGGACAGGTGCAGCCGGCGGGTGGTGTTGGGATTTCTTGGAAGACGAAGATCTAAGTGTTCCGAAATGTTTCACACAGCACAATGGAATTAATTCTGATCTTATCCCAGTCCGGCATCCTCCACAGCCCTACCGGCACCCAACCTCCTGTTTTGCTGCGACTGGTGCGAATTGGTGCCAGGTCTAGATTGATCCTCTTGAGGGTCCCCCGATCTCGCCCGAATCACCCGCCCACCCATCGCCAGCGAATGGGCCAGCCAACTATCGTGCAGATCTCGGCCGATTCTCCCAACGATCGCTCCGCGCGACCTGGTGTCTTTGACGAAGCTTGGCTGTTGTGGCTCGACCCAAGCTTCTGTTCCTGCCGGCGGCATTGACACGAGCTGCCCACTCGCCCCTGGGAGAGGAAACGTGTCTAGCTGCCTAGCGAAGAAGCCACGAGTGTGAAAGACCTGGATACGTCTACACGAGCGGAATGTGCTTTCCGTGCACAGTGTGCTCTCCTACCCACGAAGCAGCTGAAGTTCCGTGTTTACTACTTAGTATACTACTAGTATATAGATGGTGCTGGGATCCAATCCAAATCGGCGCATTGGGAGCGGCAATGCGCTGATTTGAGTCGCTAGCCAAGGTATCCGATCACGGGCCTCAACTTTAGTAATAGTGTTATGAGCTGGCTAAGAAGCAAAGTGTAAAAAAGCTATAAGAATATACAAGAATCATATGTTTGGGAAAAATACAAAAATTGTACAAAAAACAAACCAAACTCTGCAACACACCAAGGCAATGTTGCTTTTCTTTACTGGCCCGGCCTGCTCAAGAGCAGGAACAAATCATATTTATATGCTGTTTGTGGGTTCTAATCTTATAGAGTATGGCTTGACACAGGCGTCCTCCTTTTGTTGAAACTCTTGTCTTCGAAAGTGGATGCCAATAACAACACTGAAGTACACATGACCTAGCACAACTTCCATCTTACGTGAAAACTGTTGAAGGCTTCTAAAGGTTTGTGGTGTCTGAAGGAGGGCTCCTGTTGAGGGCGTTCTTCTCTTGTGGAGCTTCTAAGTGTGAGGCAACAACCTAGTGTTCATGCTCATTGTGGTCTGTGTGCCCTAGTCTTTTTTATTGTCTTTTGTATTGTTTTTGTGTTTTTCTTTGTATTGTATTTCTTTATGACTTTGTGATTCATTAGAGTTAGCTTTAATCCAGGTCATAACAATAGTGATGTCTATATATAAATTTAATGTCTATTGTTTGACTGCTAAGTGGGTGGATGCCCCAAGGAAACCCAAAAAGACATGCATGCGACCAAATGCGCCCCCTATGCATAACACGTGGGTCGGTTACCACATGCTTCAACCTTCCATTGTTCTGTTCACCACCCAAAGCCCGGCTGGATCTCTGGATCTTCCTCCTCAAACATCTCCGGATCCCATGGGTTCTACCTGACCTGAAGAAACCTCAAACATCTTCTCAAAGGACCCGTGGGACTTCTTTCTTGCGCGAGAGAGACAGGCGGAACTGAAGCCTCCAAGTCCCATCTCACTCTGGGAGACTCGTGACGTTGGAAACTGTATGGTGCCGATGGTTCACGTGTTTTCCGGGCCCGGCTGACCTCCAAGTCGCACATCCAACTTGTTGATCCTCTCCAAGAGGTCTGCCTCGATGTGTCATTCGAGGTCATGCATGTGTCAATGAGAGACGTTTTAAACCTGGTGCTCTTTGAAGATGACATCCACGAGGTGATAAGACTTGCCAACTAAGGATCTTGTAGTCATCCTGGGGAAGTACTTGTGCACTTCCCATGCTCCCCGCATGTCTTGTTGTCCGAGACCGAGACCGCACGTTTCACCACCGCTCGGGTCTCAGCAACATGGGACATCATGGGGGCACTTGAACAACGGCGTGTCATCGTTTGCTGTCGACTGGCTGTCGACCGAATGCATTCGAGCTTGGAGCCACCCATCAAGGTCCCTGAATCGCATCGAGCCACAAAGGTCCGCTGAATCAAGTGGCGTAAAATGGCCGTGTCGGCCAGCCTCCACTCGAGGCTGGATCGCTGGACGAGAGTGGAAAGGTGAGGCTGGGCTATGCTGGGCTAGAATGCATAGCCCGAAACTGATTGTGCTAGAATTGAACAAGGATGATTGTTTTCTTTAATAGAAAAAAGATCCAGGATGTTAAAGAACAAGGACAAGGATGTTCAAGAGTTCTGTGTTGTTTCTTCTTTTGTTTCTTCACTATCTCTCTTTCTGTCACTCTGGACCCACGGCCTGGGTGTCGCATGGAGGTTCACACAAGCCTTGGTGGAGCAAGGAAAGCCAGTGCGGAAGAAGCCTGGTGGTGTTCATTCGAAGTGGCACACACCCCTCCGGACCCACCCACTTAAACATATGTATACTTATGTGTATTACTACTATATACTGTAGAATATTGTTTACTATATTTTACTATTGAGTGTGTGATATTACATTCATTCAATCTTACTATAGTCTATAGTAATTTAGTGGCTCCAAGTTAGTGAGACTATATAAACTGTTTGAGTGTTGATGAATAAACCCCCACGACCAGAATGGTGTTACATTTTCAGTCCTGGCCTGTTGTGTTTATTTTAAATATGCAACATAATTGAACTTTCAACATTAATTAGGTGGATCACAAGTTTCGAGATGAGCCTGATTCCCTTCTTTTCACTGCCCGAAGCCTTAAATAATGCCGTCACGGCTGGACAAGCTCAAAACGCAGAGCCAACACTGACACACGCACAGCCGTGAAGAATGAGGCCGCTCTGCACCCGAACCTATGGTTTAGCGGCACAGTTGGAGCCCTGCACATCAGTTGAAGCCCTGCCATGCTTAGGCGAGTCATTTGGGAGCCAACAAGCTGTTTGAGGGGTCCGCGACCGTTCGTGATTAGTGATGCTTTGGACTTCGCCAACTCATCCAGCTCCGCCAGCCAAGGCCCCACGCCCCACAGACGTGCGGGGTATGGGCTGTCCATTGACCCAGCAGGGACCTCTATGCCACTATCCAGCCTTCAAAGTGAGTCCCTGGGCTGTGGCCTGACCAATGAGGATAAGTTGAATTCGTTCAACGAAGGCCATTGTCTGGCCTCTGAGGACAACTCCCCTCCTCCCTGATCAAGGCCAGAACGCGTGGTGCACTGGTAGGGACTTGGGGGACTTTGGGCGGAATAAATTCTGGGAAGGCGCTGAGAAGAACTCTCGCATCGTCACTTTTCCCACTCGCTCTTGGTCAAGGATGTAGAAAATGTCCTCGGGTGCGTGCACCCTATGTTCAACCAAGCCCTGACGAGATCAAAGACCCCAGAAACTCTAGACACAGTTTCTCAAGTGCTGCATGCTGCGAGGCTTTACCAAAATAACATCAAATAATAACAGTCAGATGGATTTGTCCCAGAATAAGTGAAGGAATTAGGTGGCCTCGGACTCGTTTCCAGTTTGGGAAAAAACGCCGCTCCTCACCTTAGGTAGGCTGCAGTGAAGATCCGCATACAATCAAACCTCTGATGGCCCAAAGATAAGGAGATGCACCAAAACACACAAATGGATCACATGCAGATGTTCTCTTTACGGAGAACCCTTCGCAGGTGCTTTGAGGGAAAAAAGCATCTGAAGAACACACAAATCGAGTCTTCAGAGCGAAGTGGCTTCTGTCACCACGCGGCACACCGCGCAAGAAACCCAATTCCACGCGCGACGGGTTATGTCGGGGGTCCTTCGCCTGGCTGTCGTCTAGCTCAAAGGCGGTGAGGTAAGCCTTCATCTCTTCAGATTCCAGCCTGATCAGTGGCTTAAGTGCTGATCAGTTGCCAGGAATTGGAGAATTTGGGCGAGTTCTTCTTCTCAAGATGTTGGTTAGTTGATGTTGGTCATACACTGGATTCTTAGGTTTTGCCAGTTCACCCACCTCCCGACGAGGTGAAGAGATGTTCAGCTGGCAACTGCATGCAATGCAACATTGAAACGGGATGTGGGACTAGGAATGCTAGTTGATGTGTACCATGGTCCCTTCAAACAAGCCATATCTAGATTTCAGAAAAAAAAAATCACTCAAATGGTCCAGGTATTGTCGCATGTGACACCCTTAGCAGCCTCTGCGCGAGAAGGCACCCCTACAGCAAGAAGGCAATCCCAACGTCCCCGGAAGTCATTCAACGTCCAAGTCCCATGGCGGAACTCGCCCCGCGGTGGATCTCCAAGTCGCTTCTTGCAGAATTCCTGCCACGTGATGAGTCCTGAGTGGGGCACGTGAATGGCAAAGAAGAAGCGAATCAATCGTCGGACTTCGGTTAGATCTGATGGCAACAAGAAGCATCATCACCACTCATTACATGAATTAACACTGCCAGCAGTTCCAAAGGGCTGAGGAAGTATATAAACAATGATAAACACCACCCCTTTGTAGTTCCTGTGGATGATGCTGGTTGGATGTTACAACGAGACACACCCTAGATTAGACGTACTGTTGCCTGAGTTGATTGTTGGTTCATAAAGCCCCGAAGGGGTGGAGATGCTTGACCATCCCAATCCTGGTCTACTATAGGGGCTTTTCCATCCAGATGATGTTGACATTCGTCCTCCAACCACTTGCCACAAGTACAAATACCTTGCGTTGTCTACCACCTGATCTGCGTCCCTGGACACAAATAGATACAGTCACCCGATGCCAGATGCCACTGGAAGATATGCCACTCCATTGGCTGCTGTTCAACCTTCTTCAACCACCACTGCACCACTACAATGTACTTAAACATGGCATAAGTATGTTCATGGGGTGTCTGGGAAACATCGTCCCAACCACACTCCCAAAGCCATCTGCAGGTGGTCAAACGACCCCACTGACCTGTGACGGTCAAAACGTCCGCACCAAGTAACGGTCGCCATCGTCAAAGGAAAACTCTCCGTGTATGAAGATGGAGGCTCGTGGCGTTTTGATGCCTCAAGTGTGTCAGGCTTGGCCCCAAAGACCAAATAGAAAGGTCAATCTCCTGGCAAAATGTATTGGAAGTCGTGTACGCATGCCTTTGGGCAAGAAACTCCCCAATGAACACATCTTCTCAGTTTTCGATGTGTGCATGTGTGTACTCGTCTGTATTCATCATGCTTTGGCGGACGCATTGTGTCCAAGGGACGCTCAGGAGCTAAAAGCCTGCGCACATGCTTCAACAGGTCCTGAACAGTGCCAGCGCGGAAAAGGCCCAAAAGGTCTGCAGGGATTGGAACATGCGGCTACAAAGCATTTTGGGAAACAAAGGGGTCTGGATCCTGTCTCAGCACCTGGAATAGTCACCACTCACCGATTGGCACCTGAATGTTAGGGCCGGTTTAACCTGTAGAGTCAGGTGCTGGTATAACATATTGTAATCAATAGTTGTTTTAATTGCCTGATGTCTTCAGGTAACCATTGGACGTGGAGCGGATGCTTTGGGATGCTTCGGGGCCTGCCTTCACCGGTGACCTTTTGACAAACACACCGCCTCGCCATCTCATGGTAGGCAGCTTTTTGCACTCCATGGCCTAGATGAGGCCGACCAATTGTCAGGTAGATGCAATTCCAACTGGTCAAATATAGTGGTTTCAAGAAGTAGATGGCACAAGTTACCCCAATGTCGGTGGTTAATATATGGACCCCGATCTGTCATCTTGGGGTCTGTGCCATCTGTTCTTGAAACCACTGCAAGATCGTAGACTAAGACCCCCGTGGGCCGCTTGGATCTTAAGAACTGCTTTCAACTTCGATAAAGACATGTTGGAAGACTGAGCACCAAGGTGATGAGTTTTTCAAGGGCATGGCTCGGTGGTGTCCGACTCCCCAGATGCTGCGCCCAAAAAAGGACCCCTCCTACCTCATACCAGCTTGGATTAGCTCTTTCTTCCTGGAAGGTGGGAAGTTCAATACCCCCAAAACCAAAAACCTCATCAAACGTCCTGCCAGTGCTTTTCTTTCCGCAAACCGGCCTGCCACTCCCCACATCCCATGTCTCGCCGTCTCCGCTCCTGATTCTTCTCCTCCCGCGCAATGCGCTGCGCGCCATCCACGAAGACACCGGTGACTAAGTTCATCATCACCTGGGTCGCCGAAGCCGAAGACGCCCCTCCGGTGGCCACGGCCACGTGGCGGTGGCCACGGCAGGAGCGGTGGCCGAACCTCCGCGGGTCGAACGCCGTGGGTCGATCTCTGTCTTGGTCTGACACCATTTGGTGTAAACCCCTGAATCAACAGCCTACATTAGACATGCTGAATAATCAATCTATCTATGCATGGAGCTGGCCTAATTAGTCTACACGCCATTTCCATTGGTTTGTGCTGGCTTCTTCACTTGCGCGGAAAGTCTGCCGCTGAAATCGCACGACCAGGGGCTAGAGTAGCGAAGGCGATGAAAATAGAGAAGACCAAAGTGTTCCTCAGTCGCAAGAGGACCCTCTGACACATAGGGACCTGTCTCAACACCACTCACGCAATAAAGACCATGATGTGTATACATCATATATATATATAGAGATATGTATGTGCATACATATATATATATATAGAGAGAGAGATGTATGTGCATACATATATATATATATATGCCGCCACTGTTTCTGTCTGCTCTTCTCAGAAGAACGTCCACCCCTATTCTTTTTGCGAGAACTTGAGATCAAACATTCACATGGAAACATCCGATCATAAATGGTATTATATTGCCACGCTACCTCCCTTCCCAACTAAGAGTGCCTCTATGACTCTATGACTCTGCTGGCGACCAAATCTCCGACCAAAGCGGAGCCCTTGATGCTACGTGTGGCCTATAGATTCCACCCTGGGCCAAAACCTCAACTCCCTCCCAAGTCATTGCCCAAAATTGCCTGCAGCGGCCACCAAATACTACAGGATACTACCATCCCTGGCGTGTGGGCACTGGCATTCACCCATGCCGCAACATAAATGCTGAAGACCCCACTTGAATCGTGTCCACTGGGTCTGGCAAAATCATCAAATCAAGAAAGAAATCTCCTCTCGTCATCCTCCAACATGAAACCCGACATAGGTGTTCCAAAATAGGAAGACCAAACAGATGGGCTTTAGAGGCGTTAGTTGTATGTTATTGTCAGATTTGTCAGTGGCCTTTGGCAGGTCTCCGTTTATAACTTTGGACTTACCAACATCACATGTGTTCCCAGATGCGTTGATGTGCTGCTCCCCACATAGTCGTCGAACACGGAGATGAAATTGTGCCTCGCTCTCGAACGACCGCTGGTCCGAAAACCGTCCAATCCTAAAAGTAAAAAATTGGTCGTTGCCTTGTTGGCATGGCATCAGGGTGGGGTAATATGATATATACGTTCAATTAATTAAGTTATATTTTGGGTCTATCCAAATACCTGTAACAGTGGATGATGGTTGGTAAAGGCCTTGTTCAAAAATAGTGATAATTGTTTACTGACTGTTACAGGGAATAGGACAGACCCAAGTTATAATATCATAATATCAGCACACTAGACTTAGAGTCTTGGAGCATTCTAGAAGGCAACCTGTAGATGTCAATGTGTGCATGTGGCACAGAAGGCTCAAGACACCACCCGTCTCTTATCCCAAAACACCTCTTCATCCACCACCAAGCACCAGCGAGAAGCTGAGGAATCGTGCCGGAGCAACCAAATCCGCACGTTGTGCTTGACAAACACATGCATTCTTGAAACTATCACGCGGGTGTTCTTGAGCAATCTCCAAATTGAATTACTTACCTATGATCACCTGTTCCTCTTGACATTCTTCTTGCAGAATCCTATGTCATGTTCAAAGCCACGTGGGACGTTCCCACAGTTCACCGTACCACACACAACCAGTCTCCTCAATCTCCTTGCCAAGGCTCCAGTCATTGCCACCAGTGATGGCTTGGAAAAGGGACAAGATGGAATTGCCAATGGATCCTCGGGCTCATCCCTCCCGCTCCGAGTTCACAGGTGAATCCACCGTGTTTCCCCTGGACTTCATCGCTGATCACGCGCGCATCGATCCACGCGCTTTCCGCGCAATTGGGTGCAGACGAGTGTCCCCAGGTGCTACCTAAGCTGCTGAAGTCCTTCTGAGGATGCTTGTTCCGAAGATCATAGGCCAACTCAGTGAAATAGACCTCAGGACGTTCCGAGTCAGATTTCGGCAAGAGATGTAAACAAACATCCGCCTCTCGCGATGTTTGTTGAACAAATGGTTGGATCTGTAAGACAGTCTCGTATTATATACAGTACCCGAGTCCTGATTCACCCACCCAAATCACCGGCTTCCGGTCACCTGCATGGCTGCGATTTCTCGAAACCAAGTCCGGCTGTCATCGTCCATCGGTGACTTCGTCTACACGACACCAAGATATGAATCCATACCCAGACACTCCATGGGACTGCCATATATGCCGATCAGTTGGGGTGGTTTTGGGGGTCGGGTCAATGTAGGCATATATGGCATACATGGAGTGTCTGGGATAGAACAATAGCAAATAATAGCAAGCATATACCAGCACCCTCCGAAAGGTCTCCTTTGAAATTTGGTGGCTTTTGGAGACTCAATAGTGGCAGGGGGTGACCTGTGAAGTCGGGTGCTGGTGGACAGCCTAATTCTATGACACAACTTCCTCCCCGTAGCTTTGGCGCTCTACGTGCCATCTCGCTCAGTCTTGGTCTTTCTACCTCTTCTGACTCAATTGACTCTCGCTGAAGGAAACCAAAAACACGTGATCCGCCACAAAAACCAGCGGCTTTGGCTTTCCAAGCCGCTGCCACGCAGTACATGAGGATGATCAGGAGAACCACCGTCCACAGGAAGCTCTTCAAAGACCTGCTGTCGGCGGCGAATTGCACAAGGGGAGACCGGGTAGTTGGAGGGCTTAGCCTGGCATGATCTGGCTGAGCCTGGCTGGTGAATCCAACTTATCCGATAAGACAGGGATCAGAGTACTGACCTGGTCCCCCAAACATCCAACACCAGTGCTACAATGTGCTATCTTTTTCCCCATGAACTACCCGGCAGGAACTGACACACCCCATTGTTTGAGAGAAAATCATCTTCCAAACCTTCTTCCAAACCTTCAACCAGCAGTTTCCATGTTTCGGCACTTGATGATGGCCTTGTTTGATGTCAAAATTGGTATTGATTTGGTGACCTTGCAGAGGCCTTTGAGGATTTTGCAGGAGAACTACACTTAACAATATTGATCACCACAAAGGGTAGCAAAGGATAGCTAATTCAATTTACACACAAAAATCACAAAAGCAACATTTGATCAACGCACTACGATGTACAGAAATGGTTGACAGGCACGGGTGGCCCGGAAAACCTCTCCCGGGGTCCTTTCGGGGTGGGTCCCGATCTGTCCCGATGACTTCTGGTTTCTGTCTGCGGTGCACTGCAGACCGTCCCACCCTCGGTGCTGAAAAATATGCTTCGCCAAGAGACGCTAGGATGAGATAGACCATGGACTTCAGCGCTGGGATCAAGCGTACCATCCGCACCAAGCGCACGATACGGCCCAGCCCTCGGAAGGGACTTCGGGGTTTCACTATGTTATATAAACCCCTGCCCTGCCCAGTTCTTGTGCGACCATCTGGAAAGCATCTTAATTCGTGAATTCTTTCTTCGCTACCCTGGCCAGCGATGGCCGGCCTATGGAAGTTCGATGGGGTATGAGTATATCAGTGTATCTGAAAGTTCGATGATGTTCTGAAAGCAGATTCTATCATGCACATCCAACAACAGCCCACTCCAATGGATTTTGCATGTAAAAACCGTTGGAGTCTACAGCCTCTTTTTGCCGTTGGCATGTCCCATCCGGACCATAGGGTGGGACATGCGCTTACGTCGTCGCGGTGCTGACTGCTCGAATGTGTGTTCGCATTCTTTCAAAGCATTCCAACAATCCAAGCCGTTCGTGGGCTGTGGGAGCTTTGGAACCTCCAACCTCAATTGACCTTCCACAGTCTAGAGTTCTACTGTATGACATCAGCCTCCTCAAGCATCGACCATCCCAGAGCTTTGGAAAGTTTTGTTGCGATGTTCGTTTGGGGTGCCCTTCGAATCCAAGGTGCTCAGCAGCCGCAGCATGCCAAAGCTTTCAAAGACCTTTCGGAAACTCAGGAGTGTGGAGAAACACACCTCTGTGCAGGCTGGATGTCCACCCAATCCACCACCTTCACGCGAACTTGAACACATGAGGCCCCCGCCTATAGGGGAATGGGGAATGTGCCAAAGATTGCCAAAGTATACGTAGAAACAGCTTCAATTGCAAACCCCCCTATAGCCTATAACCCCCTCCTTTGTGAGTTGTCACAATGGAAGCCCAGCATTCTTGTTGGCATTGCTGCAGGCTGAACCCTGTGGAAACTAATCATCAAACCATCATCTGAAACTCGGTACAACATCCACACAATGCTGCTCTCTTTGGGTGAGCTCATGTGAGTGCAGTACAACCCATAACGACCAGTCGGACCCATTCCTCGGCAAGCTGCCAAATGCATGTTTACAGCAATAATGAAAGCACTTCGCACACTAGCACACACGCCTCCACCTCCCTGTTGAATGAAGAACCCTGCACCAGCTTCACGTTTGCCCATCTTGATTCCCAACTCGTCTCCACCAAAACCTTCCTCGGGCCTCCTGAACCTCGGAATCGCTCAAGACCAGCTTCGTGGCCTAGCAACTCAAGGGATTTGATTGCTTCGATGGGGCACCATGTTGCTTCGGTGGACATAAGGCCACTAAACGGCACGAACGGCAATGCCGTTAGTCACGAACGGCAATGGTGAAGAACCAGGACTCGGAACCCAAAGAAGTGCTTTGGTTGCAGGAAAGTGGACAAAATAAAACTCAAAGATTTGGAGTGTCTTGCAGGGGGTCGCACACAAATGAGAATCACCCCGAAATCAACCCTCTCCTCATCTGCAACGCTGAAGACCACCACGAAGAGGTCAAAGACGTTCCACTGCCAACCGTCCCTCGGCAAAAAAAAACACTCCACCCGCCGCGGAGGCATTATAAGTGCAGTGACACTCCCAAAATGCTGCACATGCATCCCAACCTCACGTCTGTTTTTCGGGGTTCAGTGGTCTTCTTTGCTTCGCCGAGTGGACTTTGGAGCAGCGCATGCTGGCGTGTGGCTCAAAAACATGGCATGTGCCCATTTTAGTATTCCATCTCTACAAATTCACCTAGCTTACTCCCAGGTTAACACAACCCACCAATTTTGTGGACCCAAACCACAACCAACACCTGCACTCTCAGCAGCATTTTCCAATGCTCAGAACGCTTGATCAATCCTGCCAGGTGGGCCTGCTGGGTGGCAGCCCAGCAGGCCCACCTTCCCAGCCCAGGGCTTTGGTAAGAGCACTTGGGCTCTAGAGATGCTGATCGCTGCATTCACAAGCTGCATTCTTCCTTGCAGGACAAGGGTTCCTGTAGAGAGCACCACACTCCCTGAACATTTGGCAAGAAGGCCCTGCACCAGAGCGTTCAACAGATTCTGTCTTCTCCAGAAGTTGTTCAGAATTTCTTGGAGGAGGGTGGGGGGGAAAGAATTTCTGAACCCAAGGGAAACAAAGCGAAAATGCCAAACCAGGCACAAAACACTCAGGGCTTCTTGACACTTGACCCAACAAGCTCACCAAGTCAACAACAGGGTCGACAGCCAGGGTGAATTAGAGAGAGTGGTATTCTTACGTGCAAGCCCATAAGAATCCTACACCTCTACAAATTCACCTAGCTTACTCCCAGGTTAACACAACCCACCAATTGTGTGGACCCAAACCACAACCAACACCTGCACTCTCAGCAGCATTTTCCAATGCTCAGAACGCTTGATCAATCCTGCCAGGTGGGCCTGCTGGGTGGCAGCCCAGCAGGCCCACCTTCCCAGCCCTATCGAAGAATTGATCAAGCCCCCAACTGTCCAGGTGGGTTACCACAACCCTGCTCAAAGTCCTTCCAAGGAGCCTCCAACAACGTCCGCGCATTTATGCGGACTCTTCGAGCTGGATTAAAGCCTTCCAAGCGATTGCGGCTCAAGTCATCTGCCCATTCATTTCTCACTCCAGCAACGTACTGCGGGTCTAAACAGACGCCCAGGGCACAGCAGTGGAAGCCAATAGCTTGCAGCACATAACATAATGGGGCCTGCATAGTCAGCTTTTTTCGCGCACTAGCAGCAGTGCCCGAGTTGTCACACAGCTGACGCAAGCGCAAAGTGTAGCCCCCTGGAGTATCTTCACAGCCTGTCCGTGCAACAAGCAAGCACAACTGCGCCACTCCTTCAAAGGAGGCGATATCTTGCTGCAAGGTCGCTTTTGCGCACAGTCAAGCCGGCAAAGATGCTGGAACCAACTGCTCACTGAACCACGACACTTCAGACTTCCTGACATCAGCCGATGGACACCACCAACCACCAACGCCAGCGTGATGCTGGGTGGCAAATGCATCAGCTGCGGCTTGGCCCCGGTCTGGCTCCAACACCCGAAGAGGAATTTTGACTTGGCGCTCAACTGCGCAAAGAAAAAACTGTGCAGCCCAAGTGGAAGCCCGGTTGCGTGGAACCATATCCTGAGAATAATCATAGAAAACGCAGCTGATCGATCCCTGGCGAACCCGCGGAGTTCTCAAAGGCTCGCTGTCCAGAGTGGACACTGGGCAGTTCCAAACTGAATGGAGTTTCCATCCACGGAGCACATCACAATCCCGCAAATCCTGGGAAACATAGAGTCCATCAGTTAGTTTGGCGAGCAAAGCCCCAAATTGTCCGGTGGACAATGAGCGAAATACACAAACTGGCTTGAAAAGTAATTGGTACAAGCTTTGCAACCACGGCTTCAGCCAGTAAGCTCCGCCGCAAAACCAGACAAGGAGGCCCACGCAACGCTCGACATGTTTGCGCGGCACCTTGCGCCGCACCGATGTCAAATCTTGTAATAGTCCCACCAACATCTGCCGCTTGTTGTCCGGCAATTCAGCTTGGCCAAGACCCCAGTCAAAAGACCAACCAATCCACGATTGCAAGTGGCCCACGCGCACTTTCTCCCAAGAGAGAGGGACTCCAAGCGCTACTAAGAAAAGGAGCAAAGATGTAGCCAAGAGGGGGCACACCCCGGCAGGAAACAATGCTAGCCCATCATCCACGTAGAGGAAAAAAACCGTGCTTGACCCAGAGAAATTGGTGACAATGCCGGACGAGGAAGGCACCAACCCGCGAGAACCAGTAAGCTGCCCACCGACATCCAAAATAGCAAGACCTGTAGGCAAACCAGCGGCCTTTGACCACAAAGCAGGATAGACCCTGCTCCGCAGGGGCAACCTTCACCAGCTTGTGAGCACCCCTCACATCGAAGTTCAGTGCACCCCAGCACTCCCCAGGCTGGGTGAGTGACATGAAACGTTGCACACTTTCAAATGTTGGCAAGCGTACCTTTTCCTCAATCACACAACGGCTGTTTGCGCCAGAGACGGTGCCGTCGCCAATGAGACGAGGTTTTTTGCCAGGTGGTTGAGCAATCCCTAGTTTTCCCGCAGCTACAAGGTCACCCCAACGCAGCTTCGCTTCAGCTTCACCGCCAAGAAGTTCAAAAGCATGTCCTGCTGCCACGTCTTTTAGCATGAGATCAAGTGTGAGATCTTCACGGTCAAGTCCACTACGCCACGGTTGAACATGAATGGAAAGGTCATCTAATTGGGAATCCACTTCGGTGCAAACAGGTTCCCAAATGCCAGAGGCAGGGATTGGCTCCACCACACCAGTTGGAACCCCCTGCACCAGTAATGGCGGCAATGAACTATCCACATCGTTGCAGTAAGCACCCAAAGCTGACCAAACGTCCAGGAGAAAAGGTTGATGAGGACTGACCATGTCACTACAGGCAAAACCCTTGCTCGCGAGAAAGGTCAACAAAGTCTGTCGCGCTTCAGAAACTTCCATTGCTGAGAAAAGCATCTCATCTGAAGGTTCACGCGAATGCTTCTGCAATCTGCCGACTGCGCCCCAAGAAACTACTAAGGCTTGGAATTGATTCCGCAAGTCCCGCAGCAGGTCACGCGCACCGCGCGGCGCTAACCAATCAGCAGACGAGGCGCAGCCACCACCATCCGGAATAGGAAATTCCGCACGTGGCGCAATGGCTCCCCGCCCTACGCTGTCCAATCTAGCGACAGCCGCCGCTGCAGGAGCTGAACTAGTTACCGCACCTAATTCGGCCGCTTGGGGCACGCAGGACAATTCTAGCTCACGTTGATCCAGCATAGATCTCATTTCATTGGCTTCATGATCTAGTCACTCGGCGTGTTGGAATTTGCAGTCAGCACCAAAGGCGCATTTGCCAGTTTTCTTGAAGGCAAAACACTGAGATTGAGCTCGCTGCTTTGGCTCACCAGTCAGCTTGCCCTTGCCCTGGTTGTCCCGTTGCTTCTTGCCATCAGTGAGAGGCTGCGGCAACCGACGCTTTGGCTTTTTGACCACAACATCCTCTTCCAAGCCGGGCAACGCTTTCTGCACCAATCTGGGCCTCGGGCCAAGATAGTGACGAAAGAAATCTTCACGAACCACGCAATCAAGGGCGGTGTCCAGGGACACTCCATCACGAAGCACCTGCTTGAAGACTTCAGTCAACACCTCCCGGTCGGCATCCTCAGCTTCAGTTGGGTTTGGCGCTCTCCAGCCCGCGCCATATTTGCGAGAGTAATGACTGATGAATTTGTGAGTGTACGTCAGCCAATTTTGCAAATGACCGCCACCACAAAGGGCGTAAGCATGTGCACGAGTGCAAAGAATTTGAAAAATGCGATGGGGCGACCCCCCCATGTCCAAGTCCCATTCTTCACCACACAGACCTGCTGCCTCAGCCAAGACCTCCGTCAGATCCCTCTTTTTTGTGCCTGCTTTGCGGCTTTGGACACCCCAAAGCGCAGCTTCGGAAAGGATCCGGCGCCATGCGACCCAAGCCCAAGATTTCTGTTGACATTGGCTCTGGATAGTCTGCAGATAGGGCAAAAAAGGGGTTGTCTCGGGAGTGAGCGCGGCTCCTGGGTAGTTGCTTTCAAACACTTTCAGCAAGGCTTCGCGATCCGCAGCACCAAATTTGGCTGGTAGACTCAAGGAGCCCAACAATGGCAAATGCTTGGCACTGGCAGGAGCCGGCAATTCTTCACCCGAACTCTTCTTCCAAAACGCGCGGAGGTCTCCACATGTGGGCGATGTCAACCATTCCGCATCGTCCAGGTCCTTGAACGAAACCAACTTCAGTTTGAAACGTGTAAGCCAATCTTCGAAGACGTTCGAGTCGACAAAGGCATGCGCAAATGAGGCTTTGCGTTTGAAACCCATTTTCAATATAGCCTCAATCACTTCCTCACATAAGCCCTCTTCTCCCATGGCTTTGCTCCACTCGCAAGCCATCACCGGCAAAGCAAAAACAAGTCAAGCTGTCTATCAACTAAGCGGAGCAATAGCAACTTCTAGCTTTCTCAAGCATAGAGATTTGTATGCAAACAAATGTTGACGCGAGCGCGCCGCACCGGCTACCGCAGCCAAAGGGTAAGGGTAACCCACTTAAAAAACAACCAGGCAAGGTTCACAGACCAAAGGCATGATAGAAACAAGGCGCACACGGCCCCTACCTGGAGTACCACACTCCAACAAGAGCACACAGCTCTGTTCGCAAACAAAAATTGCAAAACCAGGAGCACCGCGCTCCAAGGAGCACACGGCCCCGTACCTGGAGTACCACACTCCAACAAGAGCACACAGCTCTGTTTGCAAACAAATTTGCAAAACAAGGAGCGCCGCGCTCCCAGGAGCTCACGGCCCCTACCTGGAGTACCACACTCCAACCAGAGCAACCAGCTCTGTTTTCAAGGAGCACCGCGCTCCGACCAGAGCACACGGCTCTTCCCAACGCAGAGACGCTTGGGTCTCCAAATTGCCTTTTGCGTCAGAACCGTGAGTACCAGTTCACAACCCAGCAGCACACGCCGCGTGAGAGCAAGGCAGAAAAATTTCTTCGCTTTCTGCGGGATTGGCATGCCAAACTTCCCACCGTGGAGGGCGCGATCGCTGCCGTGGGGCGCAGGCTCGCCCATACTCATCCAGGCCAAGATTCACAGCTGCGTGGAAGTAGGAAGTAGCTATTGACCACGAAAACACCGCTGGCCATGGTCAAGGCGGGGGGTTCAGCAGCCGCCGGAGCATCTACGTCCTCCAGATCAGATGCACAAAACTCTGAGGAGGAAGACGAGCTACAAGACGATGTATCTGTCTCGGTTCCAGAATCATTTGCATCAAGACCAGGTCCTGCTGCAGCCAAACCAAGGGGCGTCCACACTAATCGATGGAGGGGCCCAGAAAGAGCCGATTCCGGCACAGGCGGCAATGAACCGCGCGCTTGCGGCGTGAGGGGAACCCACCCGCCACGAACGGAGTCTAGTACCTTCAATTGAGCTCTCAAGGCTGGGAGGACATCGTCCCGGCTGTATTTGGTTGTCATCTTTGACCCGCTGTCGCCTCCACGATGGTGACCCCACAAGCGACGCTGAACATGGTCCACGTCAAGTTGAAGGGCCCAGGTTAAGCCTGTCGTTTTCAAGCTGTGCAGGGTATAGTTCCGCGCTTGCGCGGTCGAAAGGCCACCAATAGCTACCAGCAACTTGCGAAATTGCCCTAATGCGTAAGCGAAGCTGGCACGGGCACCACTAGGCCCAGGAATCAAAAAATCACCATGTCCAAGATGGTCACATAGATGAGACACACCCTTGTCCCAACAATCATGGATCCCCAGAGTAAGCACTCCGAAGGGCATGCCATCCTTGGAAGTTTTGGTGCGATAACACCAGCCTCGCAAAATGCCACGCTCAATTTGACAAGAACCTAAAGCAAGTCTTTGAGCATCACTAAATCTCAACGCGCCCCAAATCATGAGCAGAAAGGCAACTAAAGCCAAAGTATCTTTGGTCACCACGGAGTCCAGATCTTTATGGATTTTTGTTTCAAATGCAGAGACCACAGAAAGTGGAAGAGGCAGCGCCTCTTTACGTGGACTCAAACTCGCTTGCGGCTCGCACCAGGCCACCACTACCGAATGCCCCAAGGTCGTCAACCAAGCGCCCCAACCCATCAACGCAGCCACAAATTTCAATGAAGCAATACCATTTTTTGCACCACGTGCAGTTTTACCATTGTACAGCAGAGCTTGTACGTATCCCACAAAGTCCATCAATGGTGGATTGTAAGCAGGCCACTCGTGATGGCAGGCAAAGTCAAGCCACAAACGCCAACTTGGCAAGTGGCGACGCAGGGTGGAAGCCGCTTTCTTTGATAGCATACGCATCAAGCTAGGCTGCGCCAAGCCACCCAAATCCACAAAATTTGGCGCGTGTGGCAAAAATTCTTCAAGCAGTCCAGCCCACAAGCGTACCCACTTTTGCGATTCAAACTCATCTGAACGCGCAGCACTTGCACAACTGTCGCGAACATGCAGCGTCATAGCCCAACGTGATGCGCCAACGTATTCAATGGCTGGGGCTGCAGCAATCTCTGACGGAGCGAGCGCAGGACTGTGGGAGAACCCCCGCTGCCGCTTGGGGCAAGGCAGTCCCGGCCGCAAGCTGCTCACGTCACGAGAGGCTGCACGCACCGGGCGCGAAGGCCGCGGTAGCGGCATCCCAGGTCAGCAAACCAAAAAAGAATTTCTGAACCCAAGGGAAACAAAGCGAAAATGCCAAACCAGGCACAAAACACTCAGGGCTTCTTGACACTTGAGCCAAAATGCCAAGTCAACAACAGGGTCGACAGCCAGGGTGAATTAGAGAGAGTGGTATTCTTACGTGCAAGCCCATAAGAATCCTACACGCTATCCCATTGGCATTCCAGGTGAAGTCAAGCAGCATCTGCAACTCTCCAGGTCCTACAGTCCTATGGATGAGCCATACATCCACTCTTTTTGGGCAGATTGTATATGTATACAATATAGGTCAATAGATGTCAATAGAGATGTTTTGGGTCAATGTCCTATCCAAAACTCCCATGGCGGCCATGTTTCAGAAACTTCCCCGGACGACCACCGAAATGCTTCCAAGTTGATCCACCAAAAAATGAATCACCTCCGCCTCCAACCCCTCCTCCAACACCTCCAGCCACCAAGCCACATACTGAAGAACTTCTTACCATATGCCTTTGTACGCAGCAGTAGCTCGATCACAAAGATGGAGCAGAAGGTCAAATCCTGGGAAGCACGAAACTGCCCGTTGGGGCGACCTACCTGACGTGGCTCCATCTTGACAGAAGGGGAAGGCACTAGTCACTAGTTATCAGGGACAGACTGTCAGATTTCAACATAACGAAGTATTATTGTTGTATAGCATTGTAAACGCAAACGTTTAAACAAACATTGCATGAACCGAATGTACTGGATAAGGCAGTTATATAATCTTAATTAGATACAATAAGTCTGCGTGCCAGGTGTTGTGTCTCCCAGGCTGCATGGGAGTGTGCCGTCAACGGTAGGCCCGGTAGGCATACCCGCAGTCAGTCTGATCCACGGAACCGGATGGCTCAGTCGACTCTGTTGGTCTGGGATCACAACGAATCGACCTCTCTTGAGGTGATGCATGGTGAATCTGCATCCGCCGAAGCATGGACTTCTCCTCTCCAGAACCTACAGACCTACAAAGTGCTTCCAAGGGGTGTGTCCTGGCTGCAAACCTAGTAGAATATACAGTAAGTGTGGGTCGCCCAGCCAGGTGATCCCTTACAGAAGCAGCGACCTGGTCGGATGGTGAACAGCGACCTGCCCTTCCCCTACCGATTCACACGAAGACCGACCCCCTCCACCATCGGCCCAGTGGCGATGACCCTGGACCAGGCAGGATCGCCTCGTGGCGATAAGAAGCCCGTGGCACTCCGAGGCACGGCGGAGGGGCGGGGTACATGGAAGACTCCAAGGAGGGTTATATAGGGTGGTTGCCTCTCTGAAGCATGCTTTTGGACCAAAGGGCTGGGCAATTCTTGTAGCGAAGCACATCTGCACACCATCTGCACACGGTGTAGCTTTTGTACTAAGACGCTGGGTAGTGCTAAGAGTGGAGGGGGCTGGCAAGCAGCTGTGTCAGGAAATGTCAACAGCACATCTGTCTGGATAGGTATATCGAAGAATTCACACATTCACCTTGCACCCCCTTTGGTGGCCTTGGTCTAGCCGTCTAGCCCCCATCCATCTTCCAGGTCTTACCGTCTCATCCCTTGCCAATGCATCGCTCCTCGGCCCCCGAAAGCTGGGGCTGCGGCGAGCTTCTCTAGAGACCAAATCCTCGGGAAGGGACCGAAAGCGTGGCGCTTTTGGTGGGATGGACCGATGGACCGGGATGGACCAGTCGGGAGTCGGACCGCTGGACCCTCAGACGCTGATGGACCACACGCAAGCGGCCGTGGACGGCGGAGGTAGCTGAGAAGGAGAAAGGCGCAGTGGAGCCATGCGCTGAACCAGCTACGGAGGTTTCAGATTTCAAGGTGTGGAAGTTATGCTGAGAACACTGCTAAGAACAACTGCAGAAGAAAATCAATTTAGAGCGGGAGAATCCCAACATCGAAAGGCTGGAATTTGGGATGATGCCACAATCTAGATAATATCTGATTTCAGTAAAGAGCCATCAATAGCCTCAAATCTGCAAAGGAAGGGCCGAACTTGCGTTAAGAAATCCAGACTACTTCAACCTATGAGGATCTAATTGAAGAAGTTATCCTGAAACTTTGTTAATCCGCAACTGCCTTGTCCAAAATCTCCATCCAAGGTGTGCCTACTTTTCGGGCCGTGGGCAGAAGCACGTGTCTTTGGCAGTGTTCGTAGGAAGTTCCCCCATCCTTCGGGGTCATCCTGGACGTCTCCCACTTGAAAAACTCTCAATTCGGCCAAGACACCACTTGGACGCCTACGATGATGGCATTCAATGCTAAGATGAATCCCATCACCTCAATCCGCCAGGTCTTTGCGGAGGTTCTCTTCTGGTGCCTTTCCAAGGGCATGCTGCTATTCAGGGCCCATGTGGTCCAATATCAGAACGTTCATCGTGAATCATCGTGATATCATTCATGTCAGCAGCTTCCTTAATCATTTTTAAAGGCAGAAAAGCCGTTGACATCACAACGACGAGATCCAACGAAAGGCCGGCTTGTTTCCGAACAAAGTGGAGGAAACTAGCCTTGAGGACCGATTTGCCTTCTTCAAAACATTGCTGCTTGTAGAGAACACTTTCCTGAAAACACGTTCTTCCCCAGGTCAATTTTCCATTTCCTGCTCAAGCATGTGCTAACGCGAACGTTCGCTCGAAGTTGTGGATGTTCCTTATGCTTACCAGGCTGGCAAGCCCTTTGATGCTGCCAAACCAAGGCACATAGTCAAAGTAGTCTTGGGTCACCATCCTCGCCGCCAAATGCCACGTTTTCGAGAACTGGCGTAGTGACAGTGGACCGGTGAACGCAGGGTTGCTAAGGGCTGGAACCCTTTTACGTCTTTCGGCAGTTACTGGTGGCAACTGAGATACACGGAGTTTCTGTAGACTGTAGATTGTAGACGACATATGAAGTACGGTCAAATGTTATAAAGTGCGGTTGTTTGTTTTCCCATGTTTTGCAACCGTGCTTAAAAAAAAACAAAGAGTATCAGTATCTGAGTATCATCTTTTTTGGTGAGTCCCTTATCGTTCGCCGAGGTTTGGCGCATGCCGCGCCGCATGCCCGCATATGAATGCAACGTTCCTATGCAATCATAGTCGTCGCGAATTTTGAAGGCACTTCATGTGAGGTCGGCAAGAAGTGGCACCTGACCTGACTGCCAAAATCCTTTCATGTTCCATGCTTTTAGCAAGGCATTATATATATACCTCTGCTCCTCCATCCAAACATACATGAAAGGTATGAAATCACAGCGAAGTCCAACTCCCTACACTGGCCCTAGGCCGGCCCTCAACAACCACCCAACCACCCTTTGAAGCCACGAGTTCATCCTTCCAAAGCCCTCCACACCCTCCCCCCCAAAACAGCCTTTTCAAAGCAACATGCACCAAGGACCACGGTGTCGACCGAAGCACGCGGCGGTGGTTCGGTGTCGGGTCGGGGTCGCTCGAACCACGCGCCGCGAAAACCACCTCTCTCCGCGGTCCTCTCGACCCAACCGGCATCTTCGTCCACCTGGCCCAAGCGACAAAGGTGGCAATTTCTCGGGATGAACATCCCCTAAACTGAGAAAGAAACGCAAAGCCAAACGCTCCATGTATGCAAATCTGGCCTACATGACTGCTGGTTTTGGGTGGTGAATGTAGACCATAGAGCGTTTGGGAAATAGCCCAACTTCTGGGAAAATTGCAGGGGTGAGACACTGTTATGTCCACAAAGACCCCCGGCAAATCCTCTCAGCTGAAAAACAAACACATAAAACACGTAACCATAAAACACATAAAAACATCATAAAGTCAAATTTGCGCATGTCCCAGTCCCCGTTGACCATGGTCCCATCTATCATCCATCCGGGAATTGCTTCTGTCTGTTTCCCAAACCTCTTTCCAATCACCCTCCTACAGTCCCACGTAGCATCACAAACTGAGAAGGAGAATTGCACCCATCTATGCGGGTGCAAACATGAAAACAAATCCTTCACTCTTACCTTCTCACCACAAGCTTTGGAGTGAGTACCTTCCGGGTACCACGGTGGTAACCTGCAGTTGGTGTTTTCGACACGGAATCTTCGCACAGCACTTCTGTCCGCTTCCGGGCGTCTGGCGTGGCAAACACCAAGGCCCGCACGTCCAGGCTTGCCTTGATGAGGTCCTAAGATCGGGTGCGAGAACTTGACAGTCTAGGGCCCTAGGATAATGTTTGGTATGTTTGGTGGGGTTCATATTTAGTTGTCATTTTGAAGAGAGAGAGAGAGAGGGGGAGGGAGGCCCTATGAAACCGAGATGATGTCAGATGGTAGGCGATGTTCCAGGCTTCCTACGCCCCACCTGTATGACATCCTATCTGACATGTGAACTAGCTACTGGACTAGCTCCTTGGTGACCGGTGGTTCCACAAAAAGTTCCACACTCTCGTGGAGGCAAAGGAACCCCTTGGTGATGTCTCGACTGAGCTGCTCCCCTGTGCTACCCCCATGCTACTCCCGGGGAGGTCTACGGATGGAGTTCGACGGAGCTGCGGTCTGAACAGCGCCACCCAAAACAACATCACAACGACTTGGATTTGTAACCTTGGAGTTGAGGGCGTTTTCTCAATGATTTGTTGAAGCCGAAGTCCCACCCCCACAGGTCATAAGCTCTTTAGGTCAGTTTAGGTGATTTGACCGATCAGGAGCACCCATCAGATGCCGCCACTGAAGGAACTTATATAACCGTGCCTTCATCCACCTGAGCCGGGATTTCAGCAGCTGCATGTTTCTTCATGCGGAGCTCCTGTACATTGCTCCAGGTCTGGAAATCCGAAGGTCATGGCCTCTGAAAGCATTCCTGCTCTGAGATGTTTTGCGCTTCTTTTCGCGCATGGCGAACGAAAAAAGAGCGCATGGCTGGATGAAACCAAAAACCACTTCAGAGTGCCTTAGAGCCTTACATTGATGTAGATGTCCACTTGAAGCGTCTGATCTTCAGATGAATCCAAGCCAACTCTTCGGGGAGGTCTTGCATCTTTGGAAGGAAAAAACTCATTGGAGGACATGTTTTGCAGCTCCACTGTCTCAATCAACCTCATTCAAGACCTCCCCCATCAAAGGACACCTGGTGCACCAGGCCTCTTTCATTTTTTCGCTTCCCCCCCCCCTCCGCATCGCCCTCAGGGCGCGCAGGTGGGGGCGACACCAACTGGCTCAGCGCCCGCTGACAGCTGCAAATCTAGGACAATAGGCGGATTCCACGGCCTTTGCCCTGTGAAGCGGCCTACGGTTTGCATGGTGGAGGCGTTGATGGACAAGCCACCTGGAAGCGAACAAATCTCCACAGCTTGCCGGAAAAATCTCAGTGAGGTTTTATATATACCGAGTTTGTGGCAAAAAAGTTGGGTGGAGTGAAATGACACCATGTGACAGGGGATGAACCATGTCATATTACCATCAAACTGACCATATATACGCACAAGTCGAGTTCTATCCTTTCGGCCGGTTTGTTCGTGTGGTTTTCTTTGAACATACCGAGATTCCCGAAGTGGTGATGGGCCGTGCGCGGCCATAGTAGCCATGAATGTGGCCGCAAACGTGTAAGGCAGGTCGCAGGTCTGAAAGTCGCTTCACCATCTCCTCAGTCCTGCGCAAGGGGAGAACGCCCTGGACCTGGATCCGGAGCAAAGGGTGCCTCTCTGGCCAAGTCTGGAAATCTCCCAGAAGGCCTATGTCACCTATGTGGCACAGTCAACACAAACGAAAAGAAAACCGCAACAATACTCTCAACCCAACTCCTTCAACTTCCTGAGCCAATCCCGACCCTACTCCCAACACTCAGCCCGTCCACATGGACGAGGATAACGGCCCATGGGTCAACACGATCTCCGCGCGCACGATCTCCGGCTCGGCAAGGAAGCGCTGACGGGCCTCCTGGTCCCCGGAATGGTCCAAGGTGATTGAGGGCTTGGCGATGGAGCTCTTAAAGCTTTGGGTCAGTGGAAAACCATGGAAAACCGGCCTTGCAGCTTCTGCTTGGTGGGACCTAGAACTGTCTGCAGTCTGACTGACGTGTCGTTTTCTTCCAACTTCAAGTGGGCAACTTGCAGGTTCAGAGCGTTTGACCTGTAGAATGGACCTCAGGGAAGGTACCAAATCATTATCTGCTCACATTTCTCACGCAAATGGATGATGATGAGATTTGGAGCACGAACGATCAAACATTACACTCAAATTTGAAACAGATTTTGCCCAAACCGGGGCCCGGCGCTCCTTCTGCTGAAAGGCGCGGTTGAAGCTTTTCCCTGCAGAGAGCGGCGCACCAAAGACGCGTAGCTCTTGTGGCCCGGCGCCTGAGGTTGTTGAGCCGCGCACGACGCGGGGGGTTCATGCTGTCAAATAGCATGAAGAGCCAAAAATGAACGGTTTTTTCTTTTCCGTCGACGGTCTTGGAAAACGGCCGGGGCATCCTTGCTTTAGACAACAGAAAGTGGGTGGGCCCATAACAAGGCACAAGAACAATGCACCACTATGGAACACCACTGAACCACCAAAACGCCAAGGCACCAAACCTCAAATCCCGAACTCCGTCCCAAGTGCTTTCGCAGCGATTGATTCCGGACCCCCTTTCGGCGGCTCCACGGTCCCACCGTGTGGTCCGTCGGTCCCTCCACCCGGTCCGTCGGTCCAAGTGACCCAAATCCACGGTGAAGGATCCCGAGGAGAACTCCAGGTACTGCACCGCGTCACCTGCGGGATCGGCGCCTCCGAGCGGTTTCAGAAACGACAGACAACCCGCCTCGCGGAGCGCGGTACACAGACACGGACAAGGACGGCGGAGATCGATCCACGCGCCCCAGCTGGAGAGAAATCGCACGAGATTCTTCCAATGTCATGGAAAAATGATGGCCCTTTGAGCTCCTACGAAGTACTATAAGTACTATATGTTGATGCATATGCACTGCGGGCCCGAACAAAGGAGAAGGTTCAAGATTTTGGAAGATTAAAAACCATCCATGGAGCAAGACCTGTCACGTCGATGTCTACAGCTACGTGTGCCCGTGTGCCCCCCCATTTCATTGAATGGAGCTCCCTCACCAATGATACCAAACCTCTACTCTGCTACTCTTGACTCTTGGCACTCTACTGCAACTGACTATATACTGTAACTGATGATGGGAACATGCCTCTCTTTTTGTCGAGGAAGTTGTTTCAAGCAAGCCGGGGGATCATTGTCCAAAAGCCATATCATTCCATACTGGCAAGTGGGAGCCATTTTGCATCATAGAACCACCCGCATGCACAGGTGGGTGGCCTAAGAGCTCTTGCGTGGTCTCGGGCCCCAACTCCTGTTGGCACAGATGTGCACAGAAACAAGCATCGCCTGCTGAACTGAGAGACTACTCTGACCCCAATGCATGGCCTACCCCCCTAGCGGATCTGAAAGAAATCGGATAGATGCATGAAAAAATGCATCTAACATGCTAGTCGGTTGGAAGACAAAAATGGTAAAAAGTGGAAGTTGTAACTATTCAAAACCTCTATGTCCAAATCCCCTGAGGAACTTGGAGCAGAGTGAGGATGTTCCGTTCCAGCTCGTGTGGATGCGTTCCTTTCAACAAGTCCTTTAGATTGAACCAAACCCTCGGCCAATTCACCCATTGCATGGATGTTCATTCGCTGACGTGCAACATCATAATCTATGTTCAACAAGTTTGGCCTTTTAAGGACGGAGTCTTGAGTCCACTATGATATGGTGTGTGTTGAAATAAGCTTGCGTTTCAGACCGCCCTGGCCGCCCTGGCCGTCTCCTCCAACCAAAAGTCGTGGTTCCCAGCAATCACGAAGCGCCGCGCGCACTCCGCCGAGCGCAGCCAGTCCCCAAAGTCTTTGAGCACTTGTTCGGCGTGTTGCCGAGTGGCCTGGTGAAGCAGATTTGCATGGAATACCCGCCATGAATACGTGATTTGCATTCCCGTAACCTCCACAGGGGGGCATGCCCCTAATCCAAAGATCCGCATGAATCGCAATCCCATGATGCCTCACACCAGGCAGAAAAAGGCAACAAATTGAAGACATGGCAGGCAGGAATGGAAGGCGCAAAAGGGTTGGCATGCACGTGAACAAGGAAGGCACCCTGCAGCAAAATGGAAAGAAACAAGGAAATGGAGGAAAAGGGAAGGTTTTGAAGATTGCGGGAGTGAAAGAAACCTGTTGAGGTGGAAAATGTTATGTAATGTTATACATCTTCAAACCCATGATCATTGCAAGAAATCAATCGCAGTTGCCCAGTGCCCAAGCTGTGCAATATTAAACTTTAACGAAATCCAAATTCAATTCATCATCTTTATATTGAATCTTTATATTGAATATATGCAGATATGTACACGACTATTGTTTAAATATACACAGTGTGTGTGTATGTGTGCATGTCCATATGCATTTCCGAGGCAACAACCAGTCAATCAACCTCGTTTTGAGCCCTCAAAACGGGCGGAACAAAGGCTACCTTCAACCAAAGTTCCCCTTCATCCCGCTGCTGAATCCTCCTTCACGGCCAAGCTGCGTAGCTGCTACAAGCCAAGACGTCTCCACTGTGCAGCACCGCATCGCAGGGTGGCAAACGCAGCCCGCGGTGGCGCTCGTGGGTGTCGGACACCAAGACCAAGCGCACGTGGCCCTTGGGCTTGAGCGGCAAGTCCTCCGCCTGCGAGCGCAGACAGCACTGAGTGGCGGACCCTGCGGCAAGGCCTGAGGTGGAAGACGGGACCCCTACATGTTCATAGATGGGGGCTGCTGTTGTCAAGTCATAGAACGTTCAGTTCTTGCTTAGAGTGTGCTTGCTTCTGCTAGGGCCCTATGCCTGCCCTTCTGGCTGCCCTTATCGTTGGGCCCATGGCCATGTATGGGCGTGTGACACAATATTATTCCACACAAGAATTGGTGGTGGGTTCCTGCTTCCAGAACACGTGGATAATGAGGTTGCAAAATTGGGAAGACTCGAATACCGGGCGGACTGCAAGAATCAGACTTCATCCTGAAAAACCACTCTACTGTACATACACATCTGGCCAGCTAAACCGCCGTAGACCATATATCATATATCACTCTAGAAACTCTATCGCCCAACAAATCGTCTCAACCGCAGGCCTGAATAGGAGAGTTGGCCAGCAAGCGCTCCTCAGATAGTCTTGTTCAAAGGCTTTTCATCAATGAACATCTTGGCGAAGCGCCCAGTGGTTGTCTGAGCCTCTACGTCCAAGAAGCCCCCCGCCCGCTGCAGTGGACGGATTCCGCTGAAAGATCTTAAATACCAACAGAGGTTCAAGAACTCTATAGACTATATCATCCCATAGGTACCCCAGTAGGGTCCTATAAGGTCACTTGACTGGTCACTTGACCCCTTTTAGTCTACAATATTCTGAATGTGCTTTTCCAGATCGCCACACCATCGAGCCTTGCATTGGGCTTTTTAAGTGGTTTCCAAGCATCTGAGGTTCCTCTCATGTAGAGGAAGCCGTTCTCCTGCAGCGTCCAAGATCTGGTGACAAACAAATTGACCGCCCCATGGAGGAACCATGCAGAAGACACTTGCAGAGAGTTCTTTTCTCCAATTTCCCAAGAACCTCATAGAACCTCTAGAACTTGTCCAACTCTGTCACGCGGAGACTACTCTTGCCTGACTTGACTGAGTTTGAGTCTGCTTCTTGACCCGCCAAGATCGGAGAAATCAGATCCTGTGCTCCTGTGCCCCCCAGGGTCTGCACTGGCCCCTGCCGCAGACTCAGGATGGAGCTCCAAGCCACATCATAGAGCCACCCCAGCATGGCGCCACCCCCGCGCGTGACGCGCCAGTCGCACCCAGCCGGGCCCAGAGAAACTGGTGGGGCCCTTCTTGGAGCCAAGCTGGAAGCCGTGAGGTCATGCAAAAGCAGAGTTGCATTGTAATGAAGTGTTCGACTTAGTGACTAGTTCTATCATGCCTATCATCCTATTTCACGGGTCTCATTATACGTTTGAAGTTGGGTCACAAACATGCCGCCACTGCTGGCACCTGCGGAAAGTATTCATGCCCTCCAACCTCATCACCCTCCTGAACTCTAGCATCCACTAGTCCCGGCCAAGGTAGTTCAAGAGTAAACACATGCCGAAGCCTGCCAACCCAAAAACATTTACCCTTAAAGCACTGGTCGTGAGGCTTCTCTTCAGCGGCTATACTCAGCTAGTCTTTTTGGCCAGCTAGCTATCAGTGCACAAAACATCCAAATCGGAGCAACCCAAAATCACCCAAGAAAAACCTTTGGAGACCTCTTTCATCTTGCCCCAGTCAATATATAATGGAGTTTGAACACACATGTCCACCAAGCCCCTTCTCATTGCTTCACCCCCCCCCTTCTCTTTGTGGCACCTCCGCGCGACCCTCGCCCCCCCGAGCACCGCACCCGTGTCGGTCGCCATCGCTGCACCAAGGGGCCACCGAAGACGGGTAGCGACTCTTGCCCAGAGGCACCGCTGGGGTTCGCTCTCCTTGGCCAAACTCCCTGGCCCAGTCCTCCTCGGTGGAAGGGAATGGCGGTTCCAAGGAGGGACGTCCTCCTGGAAGGGAGGGTGGGCCGATCTGGAAGCTTTTGCCTATTTTGAGGACCCACCCATCTGATAGTGACCGGATCGAGAGTTCCTTCACGTGATGGTCTGGACTTGTTCGGAAGCAAGGACGTTAGTTGGACATTACTCCCTCACATTGCAAAATCGTTTTCCGTTCGAGCGGAATTCCACCGTTAAGTCCCACCCAAGAAGAACATGTTGAAAAAGAAAAATTAACGTCCAAGCAATCACGAAGAGAGTGTTCATCTTTTTGGGGTCGATGAGCTTCTCTATATTTGGGTACATACCACCACCTTCCAAGGAGTCTATGTGGGAGTTTCTTTGGACTGTGGTAGTAAGATTGCCTAGGCTAGGAGAGACAGCAGCATGCGTCATCATGCATCACTGAGGCCCTGGCTGGAAAAAACTGTCCGAATAAATCCAAAAATGTTCAGAGCCCAAACTGTCCCCCCAAGCGACTCCAAAAGATCCTACCTGGACCTTCCTTTCGGGATGTCCCGTCTGGAGATCCACAAGTACTGTAGTGTGGGGGCCTTCTAGCCAAAATGATTTGTCGGAAGGTGCTGGGGTCATCATTCCTGGTGCGGCTGCTTGTCATGAATTCCTACCTTCGTCATAATCTATATATTTCATTCTATTTCGACGCATACCCGCCAGCGGGGTTCCGACAAAAGAGAGGACCCAATGAGACCGAGAACGCGCCATGAAAAGCAAAAGCGGTGCGCCAGGTGGCTTCGTGACAAAAAGCTGGCAAAAAGCTGGCGAATGTTGACTATTGATCCATCAATCCAGAATGGGTTTACATCTACTTTCATCTGACTCTACCAGAATGGTTTCACGTCTTCAATCATGTTCATGTGTGTTTTTCTGTTCATCAACAGTCCAACATGGAAGTTGGATAGCCCAAAGACCTGATCAGGTGCCTCGACCGAGTGGCCTTGACGTGGTCCAGGCTGTGTGTCGTGGTCGTTCTCTTGAGACGGGCCCTGGACGGTCAGGTGGATGGATCGGTCGTCGGCGTCGTCGTCGTTGCACAGCTGTGTCCGGAACCGGACGATGATGCCCAAAGACGTGCATTTCGACTCACTATATATAAAAGTGGAAGAAGTGCCCAGGTGATCGTCGGTCCAGATCAGAATCCCAACTCTCAGGTTACTACCATTTGCTACCTTTTAGGGTCATGGTGGTTTAATGGTTTTGGAGGGAGATGTCCTTCTTACGAGGCTGGGCTAGCTTCCACTGGATTCCAAGCGCAGCTGGCAGGTTGGTCTGAGTTGCTCCTGGACTCAGGCGATCATTGGCACCGATCATTGTGACGAACGACTAGCTGACTAGCTGGAACATGGCCCAACGATTGACGGGTTGGACTCCTCCAGGACCCCCCCCCCCGAACACTGAGCTTTTAGCGTTCTCTGCTTCTGGAGGTCGGTCTGGAGGTCTCTCTATTCCAGTACATACCATTGCAGAACATCACAAGCCCGTGTCACATGTTGAAACCCAAGCCCGCTCCACACCATGCGACCCACGCGTGGGACCCGTAGGTCAGATCACATCCGTTCGTCGTCCATGGGGACATCCCGTGGCAAAAGCCGTCGTTGGGCAAGGGAGCATTGGGCCATTCGCATGGCCGTTCACACACTTGTTCTACTGCGATGAATCGACCACCAGCTTGACCAACAAGACCGCCGGTCTGTTTCAGAGTCTTGTGCGTTCCACCATCCGAGAGATATATATCCTCCAGCACCACAAGTCAATGAACATCAACTCACAACAAACTGTCAAGAGTATGCGTTCTCTCCGGGTGACATCTGAGATCAATTGCGGTAGTAATGAGATCGTGGGAAAAACTTTGTCTTCTGCATCCACCGTCTTGGCCCATTGATCGCCAGCTAGCTCCTACCGGGCCCTACTCGGTCCTAGTCCTGCAAAAAGGCTGAGCTCTTAAGCTCACCCATCTGCCTCACCAATTCCACCCTCCACTCCCAAAGGAATTCGTCTCCAAAACGGTCTCCACCTCGCAGAGAAGCTCGCGCAGCTGGCCACGCTGGCGCGGATGTTGGGTCTGGACTCCTCCCAGGCTGTCCGCTTTCCGTCCTTGGCTCACGGGGAGGGACACTTCAATCCACTTGGAACAGCATTATCAAAAATTCAATAGACTTTCGAGATGGGGATTCACACATAGGGAAAACATGCGCCAATAAATGAACATCGCTTCACCCGAAGCAAAAGCAACACAGGACAAGAGCAATGCTCTTATGGCATGATATGGCATGGTATTCAGTCATACCTGGACAGCGTTTTCCATGACGTTCCCCGGTGTCGGTGTCTGGTCCAGGTCTTTTTGTGACCACCAGTTCAACCTTGTGGGGTCGAACGGGGCGCCGCTCCCATCGAGGACCGGCCACCTGGCGAGGACCAGCTGGGGCGATTTGGCCCAACTCCGGAGCTTGGAAATTGGAACATCCGCCAGAGAACGGGTCACCCAAGAGTGGCTGGACATGAGTGGCAGGCAGGCAGTTTGCCCACGTCTCGTTGGTACCCAGATTTCGGTGACCTGGTGATCCAGCAGAGACCCTCCTGGGTAGGTGAGTGACCCCGGAAAAGGAGCTTGAAGGTCCATCACCCTGTCCACGACATCGTGAAGGGGTGCAAGCGCGCTTCTTAGTGTCTTAGTGTTTTCACAGACAATTCTATTGTCAACTTGCTCTTTGAAAGGGAAGGTTACTGTCCTTGAATGTCCGATCTCAGCATCCTTTTTCACGATGCTAGGCTTGTGGTCACTGGATGAGACTTCAGTCAGAGGTGACCCGGTCCAGTGCGTCTCAAGGACCTCTGTCCAAGCATGCATGCCGGCGAGGCCATTGTCGTTTCATGTCCAATTCCATGATGTTCCAAAGTGTTCTTCCAAACGCCACTCCTCAAAGGCCACCCCCCTTTTGACCCATGTCTCTCGTCCAAGGCACACCACTCTCATCCTCCACATCTTCCACGTCTTCGAAGGTCACGCGTTCGTCCGGCACATGTGGGTGTGCGAAGGACCTCGCACCCGCCGCACCGAGGCGGTTTCCGGTGTGGGGGGCGGATTCGTGGGGTCACTGGAAAGTCTCTGAAAGCAAGCAAGCAAGTAACATCCCCCAGAGAACCAAGCAACCAAGTGAAAATTCTCGGTTGCTTGGTTGGTTACCAACCAAGCAACCTTGACGTGGAGAACAGTCACGAACATGACACTAGCTCAACTAAACCAAACCAGTCGTCAAGCAAGTTTTCTTCTATTTTGAGACATTCACTCACCTCCTTCTAGTGATTGAGGATGTGCAAGAACAATACCTCCCAGCTACACTGGGATTCCATATGTTCCTGCTTCTTCTCCAGGTTTAATGGGGTCTTGTAGAGTTTTCTAGCTCAGGCACTGGAGACTGGACCCTCCTAGAGGAGAGCTGAGCGCATTTCTCACGGCCGGGGCGCCGCGGTTTTCTTTGGTCCTCTCTCAAACATCCACTTTTTTCCATACTTGTCCCACCTTCACCCAAGTGGTTCCAAGCAGCGTGGCTTCGGTCTCCTCCTTGCTGTCGAGGCGGCCTCCAAATCTCTCTGCCACGCCTGCTGCTCGCAGGTCATCGGCCGAAGTCACACCTGTTGGCGACAAGAAAGGCGCTTCTGGAAAGCCACCCCCCAAAAAAAAACAAAAAAGAACAGGGTAAAGGGCCACAGCGGATCCATGGGGGTGGTTTAGGGATCCATCTTCAGTGATCTTAGCTTTACCTGGTGAACAGGTTAAAATCCTTGTGATTCTCCTCTATCTGGTTTCTGTTCTGGACATGATGGGACATGGAATTCCTTTCATCCACACGTACCAGCACCCCAACTCTACAGGTCTTAGTCTACTCGCAGGCAGGCTTCAGTCGCAGGTGGTGTACCTGTTTCAGGTTGCCCGTTCATACTTAGAAACTGACTGTATAGACCGTTCGGCAACCCGTTCGACAACTGTCTTTTTCCAAGAGCAAGCACCATGGTTCAGGATGTTTGGTACTCCCCAAAGGCCCAGGTGAAGGTGGTGAATATATGTAATTACATGAAAATTACATGTAAAACAACGCATAACGGGGTAGCGGGCGTCTCATGAAGTTGCAGGCTCCAAAAACAGCTAGGCCGCAGGCACATCTCCGAACCAGAGGACCAGCTCGCGCCAGCGAGGTGCCAGGTATTGCCAGGTCCCAAAAGAATGTGTTGCCTTCTTTTTTTGTTGTGATGTTGGTTGGTTATTCATATGTAATCATTAAGAAAAATGTTAATGTAATTATATAGATATAGAATGTGATATAGATCTTCTTATGGGGGGAAGCTGGTCCTCTCTGGATCTTCCCATCTCTGCCAGCGCTGGAATAGCCTGAGCGCCCCGCCACGTCCGGAGTAGCCTGATGTCCCGCGGGGTTGGTCGAGGCCTCAGGGGCCGTGAGGATGAAACGAAGTGTGGACTTCTGGGAGTTCCAGTAGATGGATAGACTGTCATGGATAGTAGTCGTGTTTCTTCTACTGCCCATCACAGTGGATAGTAGATGGGTAGATAGTAGTAGTAATCCTTCTGACTCACAGTGTGTCCATGGATGATGTCAGACATCAGATCATTTCGATGGGTCTATCCGAGTCTATCTGGGCCTCAGTGGAGGATGATGGTTCAGTTGCAGGCCGACAGTTTTTCAGTTCAAAAATCGTAATATATATTTAATTGTTTACTGACTGTTACAGGCAATGGTTCAGATCATGTCTATACAAATCATTGCACATCCCATGAGGTATTGGTAGGCCGGGCACCAATCCAGGCATTGAGTCCGAGCAAGTAGTTAGCAGAAATATAGTATAGGTCAGAAGCTCAGGGAAAATTCCAAGTTGATCAATGTCAAACTTGGTCGTCTTTCAATTGTTTGCACCAATCATAGGACATGGCATGGCACCTCTTTTCTTGGCGAATCTGTGCCGCTTTGGCCATATCCCACGGTGCGCCTGGAGTGCTTCTGGACACTTGCTCCGCCTTCACCTGCTCCACGAGCTCATAGATGTCATCCTGGCCATCTCGCGACGGCGCGTCGTGGAGTGTCCGACTTCATGTAGACCGTTGATGAAGAAAGCCAACCGAGACGGACTGGATAGATGTCGCTTCGAGACCGCCGGCCGTCTCGCAGTCTTGTGGTAGGTTCATCTGTTCTTGGATCCTACCGGTGGTCCACACAACTTGTTCCAAACATCGAAACAGAGCGGGACGCCATGCGAAGCGCATGTCATTGGGCCCCCCATAATGTAGACTCTTGATGAATAAACCCACCCAATTTGGAGCAAACATATCTTCAAGGGGTGGTTTATAAATTAATCAAGTGTGCATTATACCTAAAATCATAATATATATATATATATTATATCTATATTAAAGGCCCTTTCTCCGATGCCCCCAATCAGCCCAACCTTCAGCTCCACCCGCAATTGCTTGTAAAGCTGTCGCAGCTCTTTAAGCATTGAGCTGTGCAACGACGCCGTCCCACGGAGTTCCTGCGGCTTGGCATCGTTGCTGTTGGAGGGGTCTACATCTCAGCAGCTGCAGAGTTGATCACTATGCCTCTGTCGACTAAACATACTAAACTTCCACTTCCCTCATTCAGTGGCGTCGGTGCTTGATTTCTGCCGTGAAACCTTCGGCCAACGAGAACCGCCGAAGCCGACCCACATCGGAAGTGCTTTCGTTCTTCAACGAGGTGACACGTCGCTTACGTCTGTTGCATTCTCTTCGACGGCTTATGCCGCTGGGAGCGCATGTTCTGAACTGAGGTTGGGAGGGAGGGATCAGTTTTTACATGCAAACAATGCATCGTGAATCGAAGGAATCCGAACTAGGGACTGAACTCGGAAGGGAAGGACTGAACAGCATCCTTCACCGCGATCGGATGGGGTCCCAGAACAGCTGCGAATGGTGGGGCTGGAGATGCTGTCGCCCTGCCCTCGTGGGAGTCCCACTTCCTTGAGAAGATCCAGGGCATTGGTCTTCTTGGCATCGTCGCCTGGGGATTCTTCCACGGGCGAATAGAGGGGCCGCATGTTCCGCCCACCAGCATTTGGGGTGGGGAAAGGGGCGGATCCAGTTTACCAAGAGAATGGCAAGTGCCATCTTGAGTCTTGAGTGTTGTGGGAAGGGGGTAAATGTGCCATGGCGAGAAGCGAAGTGTCACCAGTGGGGAGCCAGTCAAAGGGCTCACAGCGCCTTCCAAGCCCCAACGGGCTTGGATAATACAAAAACAAACACCTGTGCAACCCTGGGCCTGAATTTTTTAGATATCGTCAGAATCCCGTTTAATTGATGCTCTTGAGTGATCAATTGAAGGCCTCTTCCTTCAGGTCCCACAAAATATGTGAAAATGAACCATGTACCAGCACTGTGCCCCCCCAAATCGCGAAGCAAAAGGATGCCTGCTGTTTGCTGGTGTCTCAGTTCCGGATGTCTCAGTCGGCTGAGAGGGGATGCTGGTGGTTTGTACATACGGACACGCGCCAGCAACACATCTCAACATAGCGAGTGACAATCAGAGAAGACATTACTCTCCCTGGAGCTCACATGGTTACGTGGATGGCACCACCTATTTGTAGAGGATTTCATGGTCTTCCTTTCGGGGCCATTCTCCACGTCCATGTTAGTTCCAGGGAGTGTAACTGCAACTGCTGCCCTTTCCTGTGCTCTCTCCGCTCTCCGGACTTGACCAAGTGTCTATAGTAGCCTCCCTCGTGCAAATGGCATGGCACTGCCACTGCCTTGGCCAGCGTTCAGGGCCATGTCCAGCAAAATCGGCTTGTTTTAATCCTACCTTTAGAACCCTTGAATGCACCTGACGATCTCCAAACATTCCATCACACAACGCGAAGTCTAAAGCATCATGAGCGAGTCCTAGCTGCGGGAGCCTTGCGAAGCCTGGATTCAACAAGAAATCGTACCAAGCCAAAACAGAACGATACACTCCCACTCACTAACATGAACGTGGATGGCACCTCCTGTTCGTAAAGTAAAGTAGTCTTCCCTTGGGGACCATTTTCCGCGTGCACGTGAGTGTGGAAGAATGTGTAGCCATTCTCCTTTGGTACGACCCCGCAAGGTTCCCTCCGTCGCAACTTGGGGAGGGAATCAGAAAGCCTGGAATCATCATGGTTACGTGGATGGCATGGCCTGACCATGAAATTCTCTGCAAACAAATGGTTATCTCCAAGTGTCACAAGGGATTTGCACCAGGTCGATCCAGGATCTGCCATGCTCCTGGGTTAGACTCTCAAGCTGCCAAGCTGCCCTGAGCTTGGGCATGTGGCCCTGCTCCTTGTTCTCCTTGCTCTCCTTGCTTCTGATCAAACGCCTCAGGCATTGTACGATCTGCAACTGTAGAGTATTTCCTAATTCTGAGTTCTACTTGAGGCCAGAGGGGGTGAACGAAAGCTAGCCGGGCTTCCGGTGGTCTGCTGCTGGTGCTGCTGCTGCTGGTGCTGCTGCTGCTCTGCAGGCGCCGGGTCGTCTGCTGCTGCTGCTGCTGCTGCTGCTGGCGCTGGGTGGTCTGCTGCGGCTGCTGCTGCCGCGGCGTTGGGTATGCTGCTGCCGCTGCTGCTGCCGCCGCTGGGTGGTCTGCTGCTGCTGCTGGTGCTGCTGCTGCTGCCGCTGCTGCCGCTGCTGCGCTGGGCGCTGCAGATGCTTGGTGTGCTGCAGCTGCTTGGTGGTCCCGCTC